GGCAGAGATGGCAAGGGTGCTTGACGAAGGTTAGAGCAGGGTTCAGATCTGTGGTTTGGGGGGTCAGTGGGCGTCCTAGCTGACTCAGCAGCACCCAACAACAGCTCTCGTGTGTTCCATTGAGTGCTATCACTGATCACTAGATCAGTTCACTGTTCAAAACAAAATCATTTGATACCTTTAATTCTTTTAATTCTTATTTTATACTTTCAGGCAATCTCATTAGCGATTATTCACATTGTTTGGGGATAAGGAAAGTTGGATTCTGGAAACAACAACTTAGAATTTGTGTGTAAGTCCCCAGCCAAACTTTTTCTAAGAACAAATCATGAAAAAATTATACTGATGATTATAGGAGTTAGATTATAGGAATGAGATGTTATGACTAAATGTGGGAAGTCTTAGCAAAGCCTCTCTGAACCTCACTTTTAATAATATGAGAATAAGTTCATTCAACTAGATTTGTAGTTCAGTATCTACACAGAGCAGGTTGATGAATTATAAGCATGCTACACTCCTTTCTGTTTTCAGCTCTGGCTTGTTTAAAATAATTAATGACTTGAATAAAGTGTTTTGCAAATGTTTATATGATAAAAATAGTGATAATATGCAAATGTTATTTAGAACAATAATGCACAGTAGAAATATGCACGCACATAGGTAGTTTTAAAATTTCTGTCACTTTATAAAAAACAGAAACACATTTCTTTTGATACTGTATTCATTTAATCCAAAAAGTTAAAAATTTTAACATGTTTTTAATTTTTTTTAAATTATCAATGATTCAACACCAGTGTTTATTGCAACAGTAGCCAAGTCAACAATTAAAAACAGCTCAAGTGTTCATTCCTATGAATGGATAAACAGAGTGTGGTATATACTTACACTGGAATATTATTCATCCATAAAGGAAATGAAGTTACGCTACATGAAAGACAAGAATGAACTTTGAAAATATTAGACTGGATGGAGTAAGTCAGATACAAAAGGAAAACTATTTAATGATCTCATTTATAGGAAATGTCCAAAATTGGCAAATGCGGAGACAGAAAGTAGATTCATTATTACCAGGGACCATGGGGAAGAAAGATGACGGTTAATTGCTTCTCATGCACAGAGTTTCTGTTGAAGGATAAAAAGGTTTAAACATAAATTGTGGTTATTGTTGTTGTTAATGTGCCATCAAGTCACCTGTGGCTTCTGGGGACCCTGTGTACAGTAGCTCTGAAGCCTGCCCTATCCTGAGCTAGTGTCACTGGTTCTGACACACCAACCCTCATAATCCCAGTGACTGAATCAGTCCATCTCATCTGAGATCTTCCTCTCCTGCCCTGTCCCTCCACCCTTCTGAGCATGATGTCCTTCCCATGGAGTCCCTCTTGGCCAAGTGCCCAAAGTATGTGAAATGGAGCTTCACTTCTAGCCTCCAAGGAGAAACTTGGTTTCACCCTCTCCAAGAGAGACCTATTTGTTTTCTTGGCAGTTCATGGTATGTTCAATACTCTTCTGCACTGAAACTCAAAGGCATCAATTCTTCTTCTATCATCCCTAGTCATTGTCCAGCTCTCTGATGGACATAGCAAGTAATTGCAAAGACCATTGCCTGGATACACATTAGTCTCTAGACAGACATCATTTCTTCTCAGTACTATGGAGAGGTCCCTCATAGCAGATTTTCCCAGTGCAGTTCATCTTTTGATTTCCTGACTGCTGGTGCCAAGTATCTTGATTGTGTAGGCGAGCAAACTCAAATTGTTTACTAGATCGGTCTCTTCTCCATCTATCACTGTGCTGCCAATCGGCCCAGTGGTGAGAAGCTTGCTTTCTTAATGTTGAGCTTCAATCCATATTGAAGACTACAATCCTTGACTTTCTGCAGCAAGCACTGCAGATCCTCCTCAGTTTTGGTAGGCAAGGTTGTGTCATCTGCATAACAAAATTTGTGGTTGAGTCTTTCTCCAACCCTAATTGCCACGTCCTTCCTCATAAAGCCCAACCTCCCAAATGATCTGTTCTGCATATAGATTGAAAAGGTATGGAGACAGGACTCATCCCTGATGCAGTCCTTTCCTGATTTTGAATGATGCAGTGTAATATCTTATTTTTTGATCTATTTTTTTTTAATTTGGTATGTGTTTTATACTAACAGCATATCTATTCAAGACTGACCATACTTCAAGTGCTTTATAACTTTATATGGCTAGATGCAGCTCTAGGGTGTCAGGATTTTCTTGGCAAGTTGTAGCAAACTCCCCAGAATTAATAAGGTTAAATTTAATAAGTTGTTATGTGTAGTTGCATTGACTACAACTCATAACGACTCTGTGCACAGTAGCTCTGAATCTTGCTCCATCCAGAGCCACTGTCTCTGCCACACCTACCCTCATCACCCCAGTTATTTGACAATCCATCTCTTCTGGAGTCTTCCTCTCCTGAGCCATCCCTCAGTCCTTTTCAAGCATGATATTATTCTTAACTAAATGATTTTATTGAGGAATGGGTGATACCTAACTTGATAAACCTAAAGAAGACTTTTGGTTTATTATCACCTCAGTTTAGGTTTTAACACTAACATGATCAGCCAAGAAAAACTAGCACTGAGTACATTGGTAAACCTACTCCTCCTAATTTGACAGCGTAGTGAGTTTCCAAAGACTAGACTAGTTCATTATAGGAAATTGGCATTCAGCCTCAGTGAAAATCGAGGATGACTATGTCCTGTCACAAAATGGAGAATGGCTGCATCTGTAGGTAACTACCAAGTTACATAGCTGCCAACTTGAGAATCGTGGCTCGGCCTGTGGACATATACCTACTTGAATTGTAGCCAGTGGTGGTCTCATCTCACATGTCAGTGTTCATTACTGCTATATCTGCATAATTTATGTACACAGTACATGGGGAGGAGGTATTTCACTGCTGCCATATAAATGAGAACAGTCACAAAATGAGATGGTTGCTAAGGGAGAAATAGGTGTCATTCAATTACATAGACTTAAATTGAGATTTCCAGTTTATGGAATAAATTGAAATGTAGGATGGATTAGAAACACTCAAGGCTTCTTTTGCCTCTGAGTTTATTATTGTGTAACTGTTTGTTCAATGATTTTATTAAATTATGTTTATATGCTCATTTTAAAAATTAAAGGCACTCAGATTCTAGAATCCTAAAAACCTGATCATACTGTAGTAATTTTTCGTCCATCCAGCTAGGTAGTTTTGACCTTTCATTAAACACTACCACTTGATAAGTATTAATTTAAAAGTATTTTTTGTTTTAACATTGGCTTTCTTTCCTCTTTGGGGATTTATGCAACTGTGGTATTTTTCCTCTGCGTTTTATTCCACCTGCTCTTGTTAATTATGTCTTTCCTACTCTGGTTTTGGAAGACTCTCCTCTTTACTCATTCTTTCCATTTGCTCTTTAAATTCTTAGGAAGCTTTCTTCTGTTTCCTTTTTTGATTTTGTATGTATTAAAAAATAAGTTTAGGAATAATGTTAAACAATGCCTGTGCAAAGGGAAAATAGTATATTTTGCTTTTAGAACTCTTAATAAATAAATTTACGTTCCCTTTAAAAGTCTCAGAAGTGCTTTTTTATTTTATTTATTTATTTATTTTACATTCAATTCCAGATATTATTATTTCAGTTTTATTTTTCAGTTGATAAGAAAGTGGCAATTTTTTTCCCGCTGATAATAAAAGTGGTGTATTTCATTTAAGTATTTTCCAGCTTGATTTCCGCCCTAGAAATACTATAAGTGAGAATTCTATACCTGACCACCTGGCCAGTTAGAGTACCCTACATATCAGTGGAGACTTGAACTTTATGTATATGCTTTAAAACCTACTGGATATTGTCATCATCATTTAAACTGCTAGTTTCCAGACTTGGATATAATATTAGAATCACTTGGGACTTTGATATCTCACTTAGCCGTACTCATCTTGCCTGTGACATAATTGTGTATATAAATTGAATTGAGTAAATATACTAATGAAAACAGAAAATTGCAAAGTCCTGTTTGATACAATGTCAACAAATGCAGTAGTATCACTTGGAGTCTAAAACTAAACTTGAACTATGATAAACATTAATTAAATACACAAATAGCATTTTCATATCATTTTGGAATTTGGTCTTTGGATGAATAATTTGATGATTCATAATTTGTAAAAATCTTCATTGTGAACCTTTTATTATCTCCCATTCTCTTAACATATCTCCTTATAACAAGAATATCTGAATTTAAATAAATTCCTCATTATTGTTTTAATAACAATATTGTGGTTCTTAAATATTTATATGCCTTATGAAGGCATTTGGTTGTAAATACTTAAAATAATTTTTTTAACTTTTTCCTTCCTTGTTTCTATGAAGGAATATTCCAAATTCTGCATAACTGACTTTCAGATTGAATTTTATAATGTAACACACCTGTATGGTGGCATGGGTTTATCTATATGAATTTACTTTGTGGGATTTAATAGACATAAAGAATGTACAGAGTTCTGAATGGTTCACTTAATAAAACTGCTGAATTTTTTAAAAAATAGAGCTGGCAGATATATATTCCAGGAATTTGACCTTGTTATTAAATCACTGACTTTGTTTACACGATGTTACGGAAAAGGTTTTACTTCCCATTTGGTCAAAGTCATTCTTTAAAGAAGAAATTAGTCATTAAGTCATAAGAAAACTAACAGCAGTAAAAGTTGAACTGATTGATTATAATGTCCTGGTAATGTGACTTCAAAAATTTTGCTACTGATTTATTTTAAAATACTTTCCTTCTATGTGTCAAATTTTCTAAAATACTCTGTTACAAAAACATATAGATGAGTATGTATAATTTTCCTACAGTTAATTCCAGTATGTTTTCAGAATTAGAGAATGCAATTAAAAAATGTTAACAACCGTTTCATTATTACTCTGAAATACTTTAAACAGAAATAATATCTTTTTATCCCTGGTTTGAAATTTCAGTTTCTGCCTGAACTTTTTCTCTGAGCCTACCTGACATCCACTTGAATGTATTAACAGTACCTCAGAATTACTGTCACGCCTCCTCTTGCATGAATATGCACATACACTGAAAAATATGTACAATTATAGATATATGTACAATTATATTTTTCATAGCTATTTCCGCATTTTAAAATTGGGAACACACTATCCATTTAATATCAGGGATATTGTTGAACTAGCACTGCATTAATAAAGTCCTTTTATTCAGTCATTAAAAATTACATTAAGATTATTTTTTTAAAACGTTCATAATATATAAGACAATACAAAAAAAATACATCCAAGAGATGAAGAAAGTTTAAATGAAAGAACAGTTAGATTGTGCTGCTACTCATGTGTCAGTTTGTCACGCTTGATAAGTGTCCTTACTTCCCTCTCTGCCTGTTTAATTCACACCTCTCCCAGTATAAACTGTCTAAAATTAAAGTAAGATTTTCTGCTTTCATGTTGAACTTTTTTTCACTAGGCTGCATTAATCCTTTTCACTTTTCTTCAGAAGGTTATGTTTTAGTTACGCCTTTGCCACCTTCTACCTTTGTACTTTCCCCCCTTATTTCTATAAGAAACTCACAATTCAGTTTTATTTTCAAAGCAAACAGGGAATAAGTTTGAGTACACTAGAACCGATTCACCTACAGGTTTTGAAATCTGTGCCTGAACTACACATGCAGTAAGGACAATATTCTGCTGATACAGTTGATGAATTTAATATTAACACTTATAAACTGAGTAGTACAACTAGTATTTGGACTAATCCTTATAGCAGGACATCATTTCACTTCACACCACTGGTTCTCTTTGCATACCTGGGCTGTTGCATCAGTACAGTCCTTTTTGATAAAGAAAGTCTTGTGAATATCCTCGGGGACTTTTTCCCTGGATCTGCTGGCAACAGTCTTGTGTGTAACATCAGGCAAACTTGTAATGTCTAAGTAGTTTACAGCCAGTTGTTGTTGTTATGTGCCGTCGAGTTGCTTGCGATTCATAGTGACCCTATGTACAACAGCCCTAAACCCTGCTCTATCCTGTGCCAATAGCACTGCCTCTGACACACCCATCCCGAATACCCCAGTCACTGAATCAGTCCACCTCATAGAGGGTCTTTTCCTCCTCTTGCGCCTTCCCTCCACCCTCTTAAGCATGATGTCCCTCTCCAAGGACTTGTCCTTCCTTACAACATGTCCAAAGTATGTCAGATGAAACCCCAGAATTCTTGCCTCCAAGGAGCAGCCTGTTTTAACCCTCTCCAGGATGAATCTGTTTTCTTGGCAGTCCATGGTACATTCAGTACTCTTCTCCAGCACCACAGCTCAAAGACATCAAGTCTCCTTCTATCCTCCCTAGTCATTGTCCAACTCTCTGATGCATAACAAGTGATTGCAAAGACCATCGCCTGTATCAGACGCACCTTAGTCTCCAGAGTGACACCTTTGCTCTTCAGTACCCTAGAGAGGTCCCTAACAGAGGTCTTCTTCTTACAGCCAGAGAAAGTTCAAAAAGTGTTTCCTGGTCAACTTTGAGGAAATTTTGGTCCCAAAAGGGGACGTCATCTGTTCTCTTTATTCTCGTCATCCTCAGCAGGAGGAGGGTCATCTTTGTGGTGAGTGTACCACTGAATGACCTTTGCATTAACATCTGGAAGAGGAGCTGGGTCATTATCTCCTTCATCCATTCCCAGATCTAACAGCATGATCTTGGTAATCACAGGTTGTTCCGCAGTTTCCACATCAACTTTAAATCTCTCTCCATCAGAACTTTGCAGCTTAATTGAAGGCGTGATGTTCAGCCCCAGAAGACCACAGACCTGGGGCTGCTGAGAGCTGGACAGCCTGGGGGAAAGCATGGGGGAATGGAGAACAAGGTCCTTCTGTTTTACTTTTATACCTGCTCCACTCCACACATCAAATCCCTCTCTCATCAGCTGAGTGAAAAACTTCTTATTCTGATTTCTGGTATCATCTCTGTGGAGTGTTTCTATTTCCTTGTTCCCACCATATTTTATGTTATTAAGTTCATCCTGTCAGCGTTTCAGAAGTCTACATTCTAAGCTAGTATTAATAGCTGCTTTATGGGGCAAAATGATTACAATAAATAATAAAAGTAAAATACTGAGTGCAGTATCTGCACATAACTCAAATTTTACATGATCCTACCTTCTGCCCCTGTGAATAATGGTGCTGTGATTTTATGTTCATATTTCATCTTTTTTCTTGAGATACTCCTAATCAGGGGCTTGATTTCCCATTTATTTCATTCCCTAATACATAGTTGCTATTCTATAAATATTTTAAAATCTAATTTTATGAATAGGATTTTAGGAACTACCCAGATAAATGCTCTCCTGGCCTAATGGTAAGTGCACTGCAATCCTGACGGCACATGGTTCAAATCCACCAACTACTCTGCTGGAGAAGTATCAGCAGTCTCCTCCTGTGCATTCACTGCCTCTGAAAGTCGACTGGAGAGTTAGCTGTGGGTCAGTTCTGACTCAGCAAGACACAACAACAACATTTGTTTGTTTTCCTTTCTTTAGTGGTGATGAGTTCCTCAGTTTCCTTCTGAAATTAAACAAACAATGTGGACATTTAATAACAGCAGTTCAGAATATCATTACTGAGTTACCTGTAAATTCTCACAAGGTATTGTACAAAATTTATTAAGGGAAATAAAATGTGACTACAAAAGAGCTTTGCAGATGAATGGCAATTTAGAAACATGGTACTGATTTGGTGAAACTATCAGTTCTAAAAAATCACAAAGTTTCGAGAAGTCACTGATTAAATATTGATTGCACTTATCTGTTGAAAAACATCATATTGTATACCTCTAAAAAAGATAAAATGAGAGAAAAAATCAATACGTTGAACTTTGCATTTTTGTCTTAAAGCAGACCAAGAAAGTTGAGATAAAACTGTGTTTAGTGTTACTGAAAAATAGATTAATACAAGACTTTTTTAGTGAATGAATTGTTTGATAGTGAAAGTATAAGTGGCCTCTAGAAGCAAAATTATCTTGTAAGGGTTTTATGTGTATTGGTTTTAGATACTTGTCTAAATTGAACATTTTTAAAATAGATATATTTTACTGGGATATCAGTAATACAGAATCACATCATTCTTGAAGCTTTAAGAATTTATTTTCCATAATATTAATACCCATATAGAAATTAAACTATACATATATGTAAGTAAATGCATTCTGAAAATGGAATTGATTATTTGTATGAAATGACCAATTTGTATTTGCTGTCAGGATTTATCTTTTTTGTTTGGTGGGTTTTGGTGGTTTTTTTAGGATTTATCTTTAAGAGTATACTTTTAAAATAACAATTCTTTTATAATCCCTGTGTATATAAAGTTGTAAAACATTTTTTTTTCATTCTCTGAAATTTAACTTTTGAAATTATTAACAGATAGTGCTTGAATGGGCTTCACCCCAGAATTTTACTTCTGTTTGTGAAGAACTGGTTAGTAATGTTGAAGATTTGAGTAATGAAGTCTGCAAGCTAAAAGCCTTAATTCAAAAGGTATTTATTTATCTAGTATAAAAAAGTACAGAAAGACAAAGGGAGATTATTTACAGTACTATCTTAGACAAGGAAGCAATTTAAGTTCTCAATAATCAGTGATCAAAAAAGGATCTTTTTGGTTTTTAAGAATGTGAGCTTTTTGGTTTTGGTTCTTATATATAAGGAAGCTCTGTTGGCCTACTGGTAAAGAGCTGCACAGCTAACCCAAAGATACAAAGTTTGAATCCATGCTCTGTCCTCCTCTGTGATTTACAGCCTCTGAAAACCTGCTGAAGGGTCAGCAGTATGTCAGTTCTGACTCATCAGTATCACGAATCCTGTTTAAAAGGATTGTATGATTGGGTATTATTGTCCTGACAGGGGTCCAGAATGAAGGCTGCACAGTGGAGTGGACTTGGGGGGAGAGATTGTATAATAAAGAAAGAATTTTTCTTTTACTTTAAAAAAAAGTATATATTTGAGTGTAAGAAGTGATTCTTTTTTTCCACTAAGAAAAAAATCAGCCGCAAAATCTGTGCTCCTGATAAAGGAAACTTTGTTAAAAATAGGTAATAAAAAAGGAAAATAATAGTGAACTAAAGAACTCACTTCTGAGTTCTCCAAAACTGTCTAATTAGTAAATTTGATGTCATTAATATTTTGGCTAAACAAATAGATGTGCATTAAATTATTCATTAAATTTTCTACAAAGCCATTTTCCTAAAAACAAGCCTTATACGTGTTAATCTTTTAATGCTATTGATCATTAAGACAACTTACACACACAAACTAAATACAAGTTTAATTTGCTGACAGTGCAAAACTTACACCACCATTATCCTCACCATGCCTACCTCATTTGGAAGAATTGAAAGGAAATAATATTTATTTTCTTAACATAGCATTTTCTGTTTTGTTTTGGCTTTTTCTAAAGATCCAAAGGAAATTTTAAATTTTGTCTTTTTCCCCACAAAACATCAAACTGTAGTGTGTAGTATGTGAAATTTCCCAAGACATCCTTGTTTGAAGATATAAAATGAACTATTTGGTTTCTCTAAAACAAGCTAAAGACATTAAATGTAGAAGGTTGATAGAAATTTAATTTGAGAGAAGGAACTGAATATTTGATGACTGAAAACACAAAACCCTCTTTAAAGTTTGACCCTAAAACAGTCTAATCAGAACCAAAATGTTTATATCAATAATGCTTACCTATAAAGAGAATTATCCTTTTCTTAGCTAAATAGACAACCTTCTTTCTGTTACTTTTCCTGTCTTGAATTTATGGACTTCCTTATAAGGCCTTGAAAGTGCATTTATTGACCTATAATAATAACAGACAATTCTTTCAGATAGAAAGCTTTAATTTTGGAGCAAATTAGTGGATTAATTTTGCTAGTTTCATTACAAGGACTTATCATCTTAATGAGATTTGACTTAGGGAACTATAAAAATTTCCAGATTTTAGGGTATGCTACCATGCCTACTAAGCTTTTATTATTACAGAGTTTACCAATAATAATTGAAGGGAAATTTTTTTTAAAAGAGAAACATAGGAGTTATCACAGACAAGTGTATGGAGGTGACAAAGAGAGAGGGTGAGAGAGGTCAAGGCTAGACTTTAACACCACATCACTCTCTCTCAAACCAACACACTGACAGGCTCTTGTCAGAAAGGGTCATTCTAAGTAATTGGTTAATAAAAGGAATGACTTTCCCAGGATTCAGTAAATGGAGCATCAGTGTCAAAAAGGAATCTGTTGCTGAATTGAAGCCATTTGGAAGTCAGGCCAAGATTACAATATTGTAGTAAGATTGTCATTGATGTTCTTTTTTGTGCTATAAATTTAAAATAATTTTGCAAACTTTTAAAGCTAAGTGTTTATACTATAGATTTTAGTAGTGGTTATTCCTGCTAATATTTTAAAAGTTTTTATCACCACTCCAGCACAGAATGTTTTTAGTAAATATCACTCTATAAATATGCCTGATTGAACCTTTTCATCTTTCAAAGATCTTTTGGTTTCTGTTCATTCTCCTTGTCCTCACTAGCTCCCAGGCCCCCTCTCATATGCACACACCACAGTGTCTATGTGTTGTGGGAGTGTGCTCTTCAGCGAGAAGTTGGTGTTTGTGAAGATTTAGAAACTTATTACATTTTATACTTTCATTGTTTAATAGTCATTTAAACTTTTGTTAATCTTTTATTACTAAAATTATTTTTATAAAATCCTAATATTCCATTCTAGCTTTAGCAAGGAAGTTCTGGTGGCCTAGTAGCTAAAAGCTACACTGTATCTAATTATTAGTTTTTATTAAATTTCCTCTGAGTTTTCTCAGAAGATTATTTGCTTTTTTCTAAAACACCAATTTGTACAGAAGGAAATAAATATCAATTGTCATTCCTCACAGATAGAAACTTTAAGCTAGCATTAAAAGATCTCTTAACACCATTTTAGAATGTGATCATGTATGAAAACATTTTAATGTGAAACTGATAATGCTTATGATAGAAGAAGAATCAATGCCTTTGAGTTGTGTTGCTAGACAAGAGTATTGAATGTATCATTGACTGCATCATTGACTGCTAAGAGAACAAACAGGTCTGTCCCAGAGAGGGTAAAACCAGGCTGCTCCTTGGAAGCGAGGATTTTGAAGCTCCATCTGACATACTTTGAGCATGTTGCAAGGACATGTATTCATCTTAAATCTTCCATGAGAATCTTGAGTTGCCTACATCTCAAGTGAATTGACATTTGTACATTTTAAAAAATTAATTAAGGGAGCTCTGGTGCTAAAAATATTTTGATTAATAATGTTAGAGAAGAAAATTGAAAAAGAATTATATAGAGCATTTTAGAAATTCTAAGAGAATAATGAGAATTACAAATTCAAGTGTCAGAATGTTGTGATAACGTTTTGGTGGGGATTGATTATACTGAAAAAACTTCGGAGTTTAAGCCTGAGAAAAGCACTGCGACATCTTTTCTAACATTCTAATGTTAAGATTGTTATGTGCCATCAAGTCAGCTCTAATAGCTGAGGTCTAGCAGGTTTTCAGAGGCTGTAAATTGCACAGAAGATTTCCCTTCTTTCTTCCTTGGAGCAGATGGTAGATTTGAACCACTTGCCTTTGGGTTGACAGTGCAACTCCTTACCACTGGTTTAGCATATTTATTTTATTTAAATATGTAAATAATAAACATGTTTTAAAAAATAAAGATGTTTGAATTTCCAGGATATCTCTCATGCTTCTACCTCTTCTATTCCCCCCACCCCCCATTAACTATTAGTTACAGAGTGAACGGGAGAGTGATCCAACTCACGTGCCCTCCGTGGAAGAAGTCTCCCCGTGGGGCAGTAGGATTCTGAGGCGGACAGCCGTTGCAGTGTGTGGATTTGGGCTTCTCCTTTTCATATGCAAGTTAACTTTACAGAAAAAATAACCTTAATTATTTTTTAAATATGCATATATGTTTTTACTACTCTTACTCAAAGTAGTAAACTAAAGAAAGCTTTTAACAATTTTTGGACCAATAAAACTTTACATTTTGCCTGTAATCCATAAGAAAAATTATGATAATGTACATAAGAATGTTTTTCTTTAGAAAGTAGTTTGTCCTTTTTCGTTAGAAATAGAATTTATTGTCTCATGTTCTCATTGATCAAGCAGTAAATTATAAATAATTCTTTAGTTTGATCTCAGTTACATTTGAAATGTAAGTATCTGAATGTTTTTACTTTAAATTTAAGTATTGTCCAAATGTGAATACTCCTCATACAAAACCATACACCTTCCAGCAGTGGTTTAAAGGCTTAGGACCATTGTCTCATGGGATAACTCGGTCAACAGCATAATACAGGCCACAAAAAAACCCAAGTCTGTATCTGTATCCTAGTTATCTGAGTAGCTGCTGGGGTCTTAGATTGTGGGTGTCTAAGACACAACTGCAGGTCACTACTTGTCTGGAGCCAAACACGATTACCAAAAGCAGAGAGAAATAAGCAAGTCTGCCCAGGCCACAGCCTTATCTTTTCTGACACCAGAAGAACTAGATGGTGCCCAGCTAGCACCATGGGCCGTTCTGACCAATGTCATGGTAGTTTGTTTCAGCTAGAATGGGAGAAGAAAATAACGGAGCAGACACAAATTATTTTTTTACCAAAAAGAGCAGGCATACAACAACAGTGGAAACTGATTCCCTGAGATGCCCTTTAAACCTAGGATGGAGTCTTTCCTCTGAGATCACCTTTTAGTAAAATAGAGCAGTGCACAAAATAAGGAAATTACCAGCAAAATTGGTGTTCTGTTTACAAATTATCAGTATAAGACGAGATGGTCAACAAATACTCAGATAAAGAGGGGGAGGGTGGGGAACTAGAGTCCTGGTTAAGAGAACAAATTGAGCACAAAGATGCTGATACTAATGTCCTGGAACTAATCAGCTTGTATGGAAATTGTTCAATAGAAACCTAACTTCCAATAGAACCTTTCTCCAAAAACTCAATAAAACATTAGTAAAAATAAAAGATGTGTTTGTCATAATCAGTCTTACAGAATTTTAAAAGTTTGTAAATAAATAGCATTTTTAGTCCTTATTTTCCTTTTGTCCTGGAGACAAAAGTTGCTTTCTGGAGGCAAGGATTTGAAGTTCCATCTCATATACTTCGGGCCTATTATATTGGCAGGAGGGACCAGTCCTTGGAGGACATTCACAGTAACAACACAGGAGAGGAAGACCCTGGATGAAATGGATTGACCCAGTGACTGGGGTAATAGAGGCAGATGTACCAGAGACAATGAGACTGGCTCAAGATAGGATAGGCGTCAGAGCCATTGTACATAGGGTTGCTTAGAGTCAAAGGTGACTCCATAACAACAGCATCCTGTCCATTATTATATAATAAGGAATTTCTATTGGATTTTTTTTAGTTAAAATTATTAGAATAGTACTGTTGTTGTTATTGGTAGGTGTCGTTGAGTCAAGCATGACCCATAGCAACTCTATGAATCACAGATCTGCACCCTGTCCTATCCTATGCTATTCTCACAATCTCTGAAATACTCTAAACCATTGTTGCCGTCACTGGTAGAGGGACTAGAGCTCTCTTTGCTGTCTCTCCACCTTCCTAAGTATGTTGTCTTTCTCCAAGTAATAGGCTGTCCTAACAACATACCTGACATTTGTGAGGTGACCCTTTATTGTCTTTGCCTCCAAGGAGCTCCCAGGCCACTATGGGTAATACTTGACAGCATTTAACATACAAGGGCAGACTCAATCAAGCAGGAACTTATTTTTTGTGTCCTTAAGTCAGAACCAGCTCATAGCTCCAGTGCTTTTCAGAGGCGGTAAATTACACAGGAAGTGTTTGCCCATCTTTCTTGAGCAGCTGGTGGGTTAGAAACATATGCCATTGAATTGACAGCCCAGCTAACCACTGGCAGGAATACGCTGATTGAGTTTTGCTTGCTTTGGTGGTATACTCAGCTGTAGTTGATCTACAGTTCTTTTTCTGACAGTATGTTCTTAGGTCCCATGGAGCTGGCTGCAACTCATAGCGACCCCCTTGATGACCTGATCTGAATCTCGCCATCCTACTGTCTTGACTGTTATGCTCAAGCCCATCAAAATGAGGGTCTTCCTCTCTTTCAGTGACCCTCTTCCTCTCATAATGTCTTTTTCCCAAAGACTGGCCCTCCCTGAGAACATACCCAAAGTACATGAGAGTTTCACCATGTTGGTCTTTAAGGAGAACCCTGGTGCACTTCCTTCAAAACAGAGGTGATTGCTTTTCTGGCTGAGTCTGACTTCTGCTAACTCCTAAAGGGAGACCTGTCCCCTTGAGCAATACCCACAGTGTAAAACAGCCCTGTGAACTCAGACATGGTCTCCCATGCACCCGCTTCGCCTACTCACTCAGTCTGATATTCACTGCAAATTACCACCAACTTTACAGAATCTCTTTTTACTCATAGTTTTGGGGTTTATTAGGGAAATAAGGTTAGGGGTGGAGAGAAGGTCAAGGATCCAGTCCAGGTTAACAGCAAGATAAAACTCCTCAATTCATTGGACAGCCTCTCAGTCAACAGTAAGATACAGTCAGTCCATCAGTGTAGGCAACTTCTCAGTCACCAGCAGGACGCCTCTTGCTGTCAGAACCTCTGGCTCAGCCCTGACCGTCTCTGTCAGGTTACGCTTTGCCACAGTCTCACTACAGGTTTTTTTAGCTCTAGCTTGCATGCTGGCAGCACAGCTGCTGCTGATGTCGAAGATGCTGCTCTACTGTGAGTCATCAGCCACGTGTCTGTAGTTGAGGCAGTCAGAGACCACACACCCTGGGGAAGCCGAGGGCTGAAGTAGAGCCTCAGATTCATTTCACTACACGTTCCCACGTAGCCCTGTGGGCAGGTCTGAGGCAATGGGTAGAAAAGCCATTCCTAGAATGTCCTAACACCACAGTTCTCTAAGGAGTAAGTGCCTTCATGGCGTGGCCTCGTCTGGAGGAAGTTTTTGCTGCTAACCTCTACGGCAGTTGAAATCCAGCAGCTTCTTTGCTGGAGAAAGATGGTGTGACTGTTCGTCTTCCACACCTGCCTTTGAATGTTGAGCCATGGAGGTGGATTCTGTTCCAAGTTAGAAGGGTGTCTTCAGGCTGTAGCCTCAGAGGTCCCACTGGTCCCTACCACCCCAGTCAGCCTGGCCTTGCCATTTCCCCTCTACTTCATCTAGGATCGTCTGCTGTGGCTCCTGTTAGAACGCTCAGCAGTGGTTTCTAATACAGCCTGACTGATCTCCAGGATTCCGGAAGGTGAGGTTCACTTGGGCCTTTAGTGGTTTGGACTAACTGTTGCAGTACCTCTTTGCTTTTCTTCCCTCTTTGTCTCACAGAGTTACTCAAAACTTTTTTATTAATTTTAATGGATGTTTACAGAGACTATGGATTTCCATTCATTCATTGTTGCACTTTTCTCCCTGCCCAACCCCCACCCACGCCCCCCTCCCCCCTTCACTCTTCTCTTTGAAAAGGAAAAGAAAAATTCTTTCATTGTTACACAATCCCTTCCCCCAGGTCCACTCCATTGTGCAGCCTTCATTCTGGACTCTTGTCATGACAAAACTTTTTACGATTTCCAACCCTACTCAGCAAAGTAGGATGTAGATCACTGATTTGAGGGATCAAGATGTCTTCCAAGACTCTTAATCCCAAAGGCCTAGAATCACCAGTGCATTCCTTCATGCTGTGATAAAAAGCTTATAAAGCATTGCACCTGGTTGACTGTTCTGTATACATGGATGTATTTAAAGTGTATACTAATGTTGTTAGGTACCAGTGAATCTACTGCCACTCCTAGCAATGCTGTGAACACTTATCTGGACCTTGCTTGAGGGTGTCGTTGTTGCAGTCATAGAAATCATCATCTGCCCGATCTGCGTATGGCCATTGATGTAGTCCTTGTTTGTCCCCTATCTGTTGTGTGTTTATCTTGCCTTTCTGCTTCTGTATCTGCTACTGACAATTTCGTGTATACCTCTGTGTCTTCTCTGTGCTTATGTGTGATTCTGTTCTGATAAACCCCCTCGTTACATACTGCCTTTTCCTTCACCCATCATAACATGTCTATGATCTGTTTCATTAATTTTACTCTCCCCTCTCTCCCATTCCTAGTGAATTTTCTTTTTAAGCAAATGTCAAGAGCTGTAAAAGTTCCTTCTAGAAGCATTAATGAAGATGCATTTCATAAGTTGTCATATGTTGTGTCTTCATTTCCATTCATCTCAAAATATTTTTTTTATTTCCCTCGTTTTCTTTGACACAGTAGTATTAAGGAATGTGTTACTTTCTAAATATATTCTTTAAACACTCAAATAAAAATATTAGTATTGGTTTCATTTAATTACATTGTTTAATTATATAGTTAATTATGTTGTTGTTGTTATGTGCCGTCGAGTCGCCTGCGACTCATAGCGACCCTATATACAACAGCCCTAAACTCCGCTCTGTCCTGTGCCAGTTGCACTGTCTCTGACACTCCCATCCCAATTATCCCAGTCACCGAATCAGTCCACCTCACAGAGGGCCTTCCTCTCCTGCACCGTCCCTCCACCCTCCAAAGCATGATGTCCCTCTCTAAGGACCGGTCTCTCCTTACAACATGTCCAAAGTATGTTAGACGGAGCCTCAGAATCCTTGCCTCCAAGGAGCCACCCGGTTTAACCCTTTCC